TTAGAAAAATTAAAGTCGAAGCCTATTATGATAAGAATTATGTTTTTCAATATCTCCAATTTTTCGAAAAAGAATGATACGTCATTGAAAAGGTAAAATCTGGATCTATTCAAAACGGAAAGAATTCAATAAGAAAAAATAAAATTGATGATGATGGCCGGAAGACGAAACTTCGGATAGCAATACTGGCTATACTTTCGAAAAGTATAGCCAGAAAAGAATAAAAACCATTTTCCAAAACATTTCTGTTTTTTCCGGATACCTCCGGGAATACTTGGAATTTCAGAACTTTCTTGAAGGCATATTGTTAGTCAGGTAAATGCATAACTTTGCATCACTTTAACCGTTTTCGTATCTCTCAATTTCCGAGATCCCAATAGTGAGGATTGAATTTAAAACACCCTGTAGACTACCCGAAAACGAATTTGAAAATCATACCATCTTTGAAAAGTTGCATTTCTATTTCATCATTGTCTGCCTATTTATTACCGTCTTCTGATAATGAGTACTTACCTTTTACTCGATATCAAATAACTCATTTTATTTTCCATAATGATGAATGAATCTGATGAAATCTGACTTTGAATACTCATGTTCTGTGATTGTAATATATATTTAATCGTGAAAAAGTTTTTATTTAAAACCAAATGAGATACTTTCTCTACAATGCACACCCGATGCACATTTCATAGATCTCGCAGAGTAAAACCCCGGTTTGAATAATGTACAGAGCATAGATATAATGGAAATGAGAAAAAACCTTCAATGATTGATACCAAAACAAATTTCAAGAACATAGTATATGGGTACACATTCGAGGCCAAAACTGAAATATTTTGCCCATCATAATACAGCATGACTCACGGTCGATGGTAGGTTGGACGTTTCTGGAAAACGCAAAGCATGATTTTTCTGAAAATTCCACCTGTCACATTTCCTTACCTGTTCTATCGATCTGAAATATTTTCAGCATTGCGGCGTTGCCACTTCCACCAAAAAATCCTAGCAACTTTTTTTTTAATGGAACACCCCGTATATTAATACATTTTCAGAATCGTTCTGGTATTTTAATACTTTTCTGTCAATAATGTCCTATACCTATCTCTACCTGTTTTCGAGATGAAAAATAAATTGTGCTAAATATGGTCCAAAACATAGCCTTAATTGAAATTAAGTACATCAGTACTCTCAATTCATGAAAAGTTGNACTATAACTATATTGCAGATGAGCATCTTACAACGTGCGGTAACAGACTGAGACTTGAGACTTTTGAGACTTATTCCTCTTTTTAAGTTCGCTTGCCAAGGGGAGCGATTGGGAATTCGTCCGAGGTTGACAATGTTACCATTTTCCTTTTATATATATATATATATATATATATGCCTGATTTTTTTCTACATTAGTTTGTTGCAAATAACATATGAAAATTAATTTTTGAGTTATTACGCAGTTGGCAGGGAAGTTTGTAAATATTTCTTACTATATATCGATTCAATATAAATTTCAAGCTTGAAGCTTCGTTATTGACTTTTTGGCTATTTCTCCATCCCTTCCCTGTTGAATCCGTAATGCTATGCATAAGACTAAATTTTTCTTATAGATTTTCCTACAGTACCTATGATCAGTAAAAATTGTAAATATGCCCCTTATGGGACAATTTTTTTGTGAATTCTTCTGTGATGGTGAGAAACGTCAGTCCAGCATATCATTGGAAGAAGATGCTGTAGCTCTCATGAACGTACATTCAAAAGAGAACAATAAAGATACTATCTGAAAAAAGAAACAGTCCGAAATTTTCAAGCTCAGTTTTCTGTATAGTTATTCGGCATAGCGTACTGTATACCTACTTCAGACAGCGAGGGAAATAAAATCAATTCAAATGCCGGTGAGTACTGTTTCCTTTCAACCACAAACTGAACGTTATTGATTATGCCAGTTTCCCCACAGAAAATTCAACCATATTAACCAGTTTAATGGAAGCCCAGAATGAGACTGAGCTACACGTTTTCAGTGCACATATTGGTCTAATTAATGTTGCCATATTGCTTCATAAGATACAACCCTGAATTATGTTCCAAGAGAATGAAAGCACTCAAAGCGAAAGCACAGATTATTCCCAGTTGCGGTGGTGTGTGTACGTTCAGGCCTCCGGCAAATTTAAACAGAGTTTATGAGGTGGCGAATGAATTTTATCAAACATTGGTGAAGATTTATTATAGGGGTAGATTTCATTACATCGTGATCAAATATAAATGTGAGTATTCGAGTATTCATATTTGTTGCAGGAAAACAATTTTTTGGAATCCTAAACTTTTTGTAATGACGATCTTTTTTGGAAAATGATTAGTTTTGAGAAATTTGTTGGACGCGATTTTTCAAAAGTAGTTATGTTTTGCACATATTTGGTTATCAACATGAGACTTAAATAATATATTCGTTTTTGGTAATTGCGTTCTATATCGTATTTCATTTGATTAAACGAAAACTTCAATATCTCTGGTTATACAGGGTGTCAATTAAGTATTTACCATAAATTCAACAGACGATTCTTTAGATAATTTCAAGATGAAATGTTCATATAAACATGGGTCCGCAAATCCTTCGTTCTCAAGATACAGGGTGTTAAAATAAAAATAAAAAAGTTATTCATGAACATCTCAAATATCCTTTACCTAATTTTGTTGTAATTTGGCAATGGTATTCATAACATCGAGGAGCTGATTTATTCCGAACGTGATTCAATTTATTAAGTCCAGTGGCGTCTCGAGCGGGATTTGAACAAATATTTTTGACTTAAGAATGTATGCCACTGACTTTTGTGCAATTTTTATTATTTNTTAGCTCCTTGATTTTATAAATACCATTGGCAGATTACAATATAATTAGGTGAAGTATATTTGAGATATTTATGAATACTTTTTTTTATTTCAACACCCTGTATCTTGAGAACGGAGGATTTGCGGACCCATGTTTATATGAACATTTCGTCTATAAATTACCTGAAGAATCGTCTGGTCATTATTTATGGTACATACTTAATTAACACCCTGTATATTTCGATAATAATGGATCTGAATGAACACATAATATGATTTTGTTGAATTTTATTGTAATTTCAAAATAGTCGAATTCCTCCTATGACATCTAGAATGTTTCAACAAGAAATATTTAATACCTTCAAGTACCTTCAATACCTTCAAAAAAATAGTTGAATCTTCATTTTTCTCTAAATACCTATAATTATTCATTTATGTCAGGTCACTGTCATCTGAATCATCATATGCAGAGATTCGGACTGTCGGAAGACAGTGTGTGTCGCCTCTGTTTGGAAATTGATGAGCCAGCAGAGCACATACTTTGTGCCTGCCCCGGTGGGGACCGAAACAGGTTTTTAGAGTTCGGCAGAACCGAACTTTCACCAGCTGACCTGAAATACCACTCACCATACAGACTTCGACTTCGTTAAGAAACTGGGTTCATTTGGTCGAGTGTGAAGATATTTTCATCTTCTCAATCGTCGCAAAACGCCGTCCTTTCGTGGGTCTCTCCGAACTTGGGAACAGAAAAAAGTCGCAGGGGGGCAAATCTTGTGAATACGGTGACTGAGCCATGATTAGCGTGTTGTTTTTTGTCAAAAAATTATGAACAAGTAATGACGAGTGAGCAGGGCATTATCGTTTTCTTCGTACTGCTTCTCGCAAATGGCGCATAACTTAGAGATAATAAATATTCTTTATTGGCCATACGACCATGTGCCAAAAATTCCTGATATACTACGCCACGGTAATCGAAGAACAATGAGCAAAACATAGTTATTTCGATAGAATTTGACGTGCATTTTTTGGTCTTGACTCCTTTGGGCCCTTCCATTAGGATGACTATACTTTGGTTTCGATGTCATAAGTTTATATCCATGACTCGTCACCAGTTATGACCCTTTTGAGCAAATCTGTCTTGCCGTTGACGTGTTTCTACAATTCCTGAGCGATTCTCATGCAACGGTTTTTTGCCAAAAAATTTGCATGGCATCAGCCAACTGATACGTCGACATCCTTGGCAACTTATATAATAGTGATTAGATGATCCCTCATAAGAATTTTCTACACTTCCAAATGTTTTTGAGCACCCAATTCCATTTTTTACACAATATTTTCAGCAAATTTTCTGAACCATTTTTTTTGATAACAGAAAATCTTCGAACACCCAAAACATTTTTGACTTTTATGCCTCTCACCCACAAACTGAATATGATGAACAGCTAAAATTGTGATCATATGTTCGAGTCGAGCGTACCAACTTAAAAAAATTAAAAAATCGCTAATCGAATGTACGTAGCCCGCAAAATTCGAACATTCACCTTATTTTTTGAACAGTTCACTATGTCAGACAGTTTTCATGAAATTATTTATCATGGAAATACAAATTTCCACTTGTATTTCGGTCCAATAAATGCATCATAATGAAAATCGAATAGACAGTATGAAATCCAGAAGACAATTAT